AAAAAAAAAAAAAAAAGTACAGTTTGCACCAGAGACTTATAGTAACTTCTTGCAGAATTAAAGTAATAGTTTTCCTTTAGACTAATTGAGTCCAGATAACTTGGAATTAGAGAAAGTTTGCTTTGGTCAGTCTGAGAATAAAGAAAAATGTGGAGATGGAATTAGCTCTGTAAATCCTACTTTAGATTTTTGGTGTCTAATTTTGACCCTTTTTGTTTTATAACTAAAATAGTTGTTTTTAACAGTGTTTATTTTGTATTTAGACTTCGTGGTATGTGCATGAGAACTCTAGAGTACAAATTTCTTTCTTTCTTTTTTCTTTCTTTTTGAGACAGTCTCCCACTCTGTCACCCTGGGTAGAGGGCCATGGCATCATTACAGCTCATAGCAGCTTCTTACTTGGGCTCAAGTGTTCCTCTTGCCTAAGCCTCCCGAGTAGCTGGGACTACAAGCGCTTGCCATGACACCATGCTAGTTTTTCTAATTTTTTTAAAGTAGGGACAGGGTCTCACTCTTGATCCAGCTAGTCTGGAACTCCTGAGCTTGAGCAATCCACCCACCTTAGCCTCCCAGAGTGCTAAAATTACAGATGTGAGCCACCTCACCCCAGCCCAGAATGCAAATTTTTGTCTTAAATAAAGCAATGCATGGGCAGTACCTGTGGCTCAGCAGGTGGGGTGCTGGCCCACCTGTACTGAGGGTGGCAGAATCAAACCTAGTCCTGGCCAAACTGCAACAAAAAATGGCCAGGCGTTGTGGCAGTCATCTGTAGTGCCAGTTACTCGAGAGGCTGAGGCAAGAGAATCACCTAGGCCCAGGAGTTGGAGGTTGCTGCAAGCTGTGTAACACCAGGACACTCTACCCAGGGTGATAAAGTAAGAGTCTGTCTCTACAATAAATAAATAAAGCAATGCAAATGTTTTCTGATAATGTAACAGCTTTTTTAAAAGCCCAAAGAACCATTGATATATTAGATTGTAAACTTCTAAAGCAATTATTCTCAACCTGTGAGTCGCTACCCCTTTGGACTGTATTAAAGATTCGTGGCATTAGGAAGGTTGAGAACCACTGTTCTAAAGGCAAGGACTATAACTTATTTACCTTTGCTTTTTCCCCTAGAATTTAGCACTTTGGGAAGGCAGTGAGTAGTGTTTTTTGTTTTTTGTTTTGAGACAGAGTCTCAAGCTGTCGCTCTAGGTAGAGTGTCGTGGCATCACAGCTCACAGCAACCTCAAACTCTTGGCCTTAAGTGATTCTCTTGCCTCAGCCTCCCACGTAGCTGGGACTACAGGCATCCACCACAACACCTAGCTATTTTTTGGTTGTAGTTGTCATTGTTGTTTGGCAGGCCCAGGCTGGGTTCAAACCTGCCAGCTCCAGTATATGTGTCTGGCGTCCTAGCTGCTGAGCTACTGGCACCGAGCCTGAGTAGTAATTTTTTAATGAATTAAGATATGATGAAAATTATCCAAGTAATTTTCTGTTGCTTTTTAGTTATTTTTGGGTAAAAAAATCAAAAATATAAATGTGTGTTTTCTTACAATAATAAGCATATATTTCTGAAATGTGAACAATAGGTAATAGTAAAGGAATAATGTCACTTAGCATTTCAAAATTCAGATTTCCTAGAACAGATTTATTATGTTTTTACATAAGGATGCCTTCTGAAATTTATCTGTAATTTAATAATTCATCATATTTTTTAAAGTAGTAAATGCTTAATACATTCAACATTTTATTTACTAAATTTGCATTTATTCAGGAATAAACTAATTATGGAAAGTGAGTTATATGTCTGTATATCAAACGTATCAAATTCAAAAGGTGAGATTTTTATAGAAGAAAAGATTAAAAATACATATTTAATTTAGTAAAATCCACAGCAATAGTGGATATCTTTATTTTACAGGGTAGGTAGAAAACAGACCAAACTTACTACCTTGTCTGGAGTTACGTGGTAAGTTTCCTGGAGATTGAAATTAGACCCAAAGATTCTGGACCCCAAGTTTAATGTTTCAGTATTTGGTGTTACTTAAAGTGACTCATAGAATTGATTGATGCCATGTGTTGGTACTTAGGTGATCCTGTGGCTTCATGGATGACAAAAGATCTCTTCAACCAAAACGTAAGTATTGCTGCTGCAGTTGATACTAATACTTGTGGCTTTAGTACTGATAAACTTTCTTCAAGAGAAAATGTTAGAGATGGGGTGGGCTCATTTTCTTAAAAACAAAATACCTGCATTGTGTTGAATTCTATAGCCAGATGCTGTGTGTATACATTGTGTACTATTGTCTATACTGCTTTTATCTTACTTTTTTTTATTAAATCACAGCTGCGTACATTAATACAGTCATGGGGTACAATGTGCTGTTTTTATATACAATTTGAAATATTTTCATCAAACTGGTTAACATAGCCTTCATGTCATTTTCTTAGTTATTGTGTTAAGATGTTTATATTCTACATTTAGAAAGATTCACATGTACCCTAGGCGTGATCCCACCAATCACCCTCCCTCCTATTTTACATTTTTTTTGAGACAGTCTCACTTTG